GGGGGGGGGGGGGGACAGTGGGATAAATATTAGGATCGCGAGCAGCTTGCTGGTCAAAGCAACAAAGGAAAAAGTTGCCAGCTGCATAGCTTGAGGATCAGATTACGAAATAAACAGCTGTTCCAGATATTTCAATTACAAAAATACATATATGTGAAGAAGGAAAAAGACCTAGAACAAATGTATGTAAAGTTAACTTGAAAAATGTGCAGAAAGAGATGCTATGTAATGTAGAAGTACATTTCTTGCGATAAGGTATAAAACCCTTACGCGACAACATAAACCAGAAAATTGTTGCAGCACAAAACGCATAAAAACAAAAAAAAGAAAAAAAGCAGGAACTATTTTAAAAAAAAGACTATGCAGGACAAAATTCGATCTAATATCAGAAGAGGTGCAGTATAATGTAGCAAGTATTTTTCGCGACAACTTATAAACCCCTTACGTGCAGTTAACAATTAAAATAAACTAGAAAAGTACGAAAAAAAGCAAAAAAAAAGCAAATATTACATAAAAAACAAAAAATCAGTTACTGCATCGTGAAATGTCTTCTCATACATGACACCTAATTTCAATCTTCTTATTCCACTACTATGTGATACAGTTCAATTATATGACACTAAACTGTCAATATACTGATATTAATAACATCGATATGAATCGGAACTTTGAAAAAAAAAAACAAGAACAGCTAGACTGCTAAAAAAAAAAAACAATTCGAGACAAATGATGACAAAAAAAAGTTATTGCGAATTAACCTCAAATATTACCTCATGTGCTGGAACCGCTTTGAAAACGTATTTCTTTGAAGAAGTGTTCAATTTGTACATTTTTGCCTGAAATACATATATACTATACACAGTGCATCGACGAATGGTTGGCATCAACAGGCTGCAGCAGTAAACATTCCTAATGAAGTGCTTCAAGCTAGGTCTGGTGCGAAGAAAAAACATTATCGAAGCAATGTACGCCAGCAAAAAGAACGGATGACAGACAACAGATGGACGAAGCGGATAATGGAATGGTACTCACGCATGGTCAAGCGAACAATGAGGGGGCCAACAGCGAAGTGCGGAGACATATAACGGTACGTCTCTATGGTATTACGTAGTCTCGGAGAGCGTAATAACGAGGTGAATGGAGAAGTTGTCAGCTGCACTGATGGCGCAACAACGAACGTCGATGACATATAGCTGCTAAAGTATTCAAGTAAGTACGAATACACATGCTGTTCTTCCAGAAAATCCATTGGAAGTGATACTTAAGTATTTCTGTTTGTGGCTTATCAGTAAACGATGCAAAAAACAGCCGTTCGTTCACAGATCTGCATTCTACCACCAATTCTACTAGGCTAAGCCGACGACTGCAGTGTCCAGGTTGATCTCGGATGCCAAAGTAAGGAAGGTGTATAAAAAGAAGAAAACAGAAGGAAAAACGATTAAGACATTTCGGTCCATTAAGTCATATACGTCTTAGCTCAACACCACGACTGGACCTCGTCAGTATGACTGATAAATCAGCCTCTCTGAGGTTACGGTCTCTTATATCTTAAAGTTAGCTGGATTTTTTTTCTAACCACTTGAGGTTCCAAGCGTCTTTCTTCACTCCAGAAGCTCCATTCTTCCTCCCCACCCACTCCCCGTTCTTTTCCCTCACTTTAAAAAAAAAGCAATCTAAATTCAAAAAAAAAGGAAAAACTCACTTGTTTTGCCTCAATTTCTTGTAATTCTTTTTTTATCCATTCCTCCAACTTCTTGGGATCAGGCTTTCCAAACAAACATCGTGAGCACTTACTTCGAGTATGCATTGTGTGTTTTTGGTCTCTTTATAAAATCTTTGTGTCCAAATAATAATAATGCTCTGAAAAATCGTTTTATGCTTCACTGGAAAAATGCGAGAATAACATTTTTCCAAAAATTTGAATCCGTTTTTCTAGCGATTTTTTAATCGAAAGCAAATACGATGCATAAAAATATCGCAATTAAAACAAAAAAAAACGCGCAAATTCGAACAAAGAGCATTTGATTTTTAGTGCCTCCCTTATAAAATCCAATTTTTAAGCTAAAAATCCCTTCTGTATTCACTCTACCTGAAAAGGGTGAAGACTCTGGGAAGTAGCTTCAGTGACAGCAAATGCCAACAGCAACCAACCACTGTTAACGCTACCAAAAGTTCCCTCTCTCCTTCGAGAGTTGCTTAAAAGCAAGCTGATAGCGGATTTGACTCTCCGGCATATGTCAGTACCAATTTACCATCGAAAAAGCTAACACAAAGGGGACTAATTATTTAAGGTTAAGTGGGAATTTTGTTGAAAAATGTAGAAATGGATGATAGAAAAGGTCAAAAAAGAGTAAAAAAGCGGAAGATGTAAAAAGAAGTAACAAATTAGGTAAGAAATGTTTCGGTTCATTAAGTCGTATACATTTCTTACCATTACCACAGTTGGACCTCGTCAGTACGACGACTGTGGTAACAATATATATTTTTTTTTATTTAAGAATGAAAAATTATTTCAGCAGTGGACTCAAACTTGCAACCTTTGAACCACCATTACATGCTAAAACCTAGCAATTACTTGAATATAAGTGCACAGACATTGTGTAAAATATCCGTAAGATTGAGTAAAAACGTGTGAAAGCGGGAATACTAGGACCGCCAAGGCATCGCTGTAGCTATCCCGTATTGGTGATATTATTGGGATGTTCGTAACCGCCGAAAGTAGCTAAACGAGACCCCCTCAGTTTTGGACTGCATACCTCCAGTTGGCACTCACTTTCAAAAAAAAAAGAAAAAATAATAAAAATAAATTGTAGAAACCATCAAAAAAAAAGAAATTTGATAATTTCAAAATAATTTTTTTTTTGATTTTTTAGACGAGCAAGAAAAAAATTCTTCATTTTTTACGATTTATTATGAAAGAACCCTGACTGTTTGAATTTAAAAAAAAAAGAGAAATAAAAAAATTTAACGATACACTAATTGTTCGAATTTTACGATACATCAAATGTTCGAAATTGGCGACATAACAATTGATGATCGATAAAAAACTGACCAACAGAAAGTGCGCAGCACTGGTCAGAGAAACTGGAAAAGTTGCCAGTGGTATAAAAGGAGAACCAAACAACGAAATATAGCTGATACAATTTTTCATTTCTTACACATACATATAGACAACCTTTCGACAATATGTGTTTTTGCTGGCTGTAGCAGCGCCATTTCTCTTTTTTCCATTCTTTCCCTATTATAAATATTTGTTGAAACAAATAACCCAGTGGAATGCGGGAGGTAGATTACTGAGCAAAGGGTAAAATAAAACTTTTTCTCCAATTTTTTTAAAAAATTTAAAAAAAATTAATTTTAAAATTATTCATTTTTTTGATGTTTTCTACGATTTATTTTTTTTTTTGCTCGCCTTAC